TAGGGAAATTTGTAATGAATTTGGGTTGGTATTGAAAGAAGAAATGGAGGTTATGTTGATACCGTTAATTTTACCTTAACAAATAGCAAAATTTACCGATTACATGGGCCAAATTGCACTTAATCGCATATTCGGGAATATCATCATAAGAATCAGAAGATTTTAGACGCCAGGAAACGATTTTTATCTCGGCTTGACGTTTCGGACATAACCTAACTTTTTTATGTCAATTTAAAAATAGTTGTAAGTTGATTCATTTTATATAAAATTTAATTTAATCACTATTTGAATCATTTCAGATTATTAACGCGTAATATAACCTAAAATTTCTAGTTTTTGAACGAGTTAAATAGTCCTTGAAAAAATTAGGTTAGGTTTTTAATTCGTTACAAAAATTAAATGTACTTACTTCGCTTTAAAAAAAGGGATATTTTAACTCCATTTAATGCGCAAATTGTTTAATATAATCGCGTTAATTATTATAAAATTTTCTCTTGACGCAACAAGTGGTTTTTATTTAAAGATGTCGGTGCTTATTGATTAATCACCATGGTAACGGCAGGATTGAAAACTTTGAAACAAAAAATTATTTTACTCGTAACATTTTCGTAGACTTTTCTGCCGATGGAATGAGAAATAAAATTAAAACTAGAAATTTTTAGGTTTTGCCGAAAATTTCTAATTTTTTGTTTTATTTCTAACGCAAAATGAGTTAAATATTTTTTTTTAATGAAACGTCAAAAAAATTAATGAAAAAGTAGGAGGTAACGCCATCTATTGACATTTATAAACATTAATTGAAATGTCGCTAAATAAGGGATTTTTTATTTTTTACTTAATTCAGTCAATTGACCTTATTCTTGTCAATTAATGACAGTTAATGACAGTGACCAAAGTAACTTTCATATAATTTATCCCCCGAAGTATCGTACAACCCAGGAATTTCCGTCGAAATAATTTCCAGTTAACATAATAAGAGATTCAGAAAACGATAAATATTAAGTAAGTTAAAATAAAATGAAATAACTTTTTTTTAAGGTTATAAATAATTTGATGAAGTTATTCGAAGAAAATAATTCATCGAGAAAAAGAATTCGAGTCTGCGATATCAAAATGTTTATCTCATAAACGTTTAGAATCGTTGTTATAAATTGCAGGTAATTTATTATAATTTTTAATTTATCTGTCTGTGTATCTCCATCTGTGTATAACCGAATTAACTAAGAAAGTGGATTCCTATTTTTTATGTCATAGAATAACATAACCTACAAAATAAGGAAATAATAAATACATTTATTTTATTTATGCCAAGATCATAAACAACCTTATTTAATGTGCTAATATTATAATTATTTACAGAGGACCGACGATGCTGCTCTTTCGACAAGTGCAAAAAAAAAAGTTGAAAAAAATGATGAAGACTACCTTGCAATGCTTACGTTGGTATTGAATTAAAATTAAATCCCTAAAAATTTGAATTAACCAATTAAATAATTTTTTTTTGTGTTAATTATCATTATAAAGCAAAATAATGATTAAAATAGGTTTAAAAATTTATTTATTTATAAAATTAACAAAGAATTTTTTGTTTCGTTAAAAAATTTGATAAAAAATAGGGAATTTTGTAATGTTTGGGTTGGTATTAAAAAAAAGAAATTAAGGTTATGTTGATATGGTTAATTTTGCATTTAAAAATAGAAAAATATACGGATTATTTAATAACACATTATATAAACATTAATGCAAATAAGAGATGAAGAAAGCGATAAACACTTCCTAATAAATATTAAGTAAGTCAAAATAAAATTAAATATCTTTTTTTAAGGTTATACATAATTTTATGAAGTTATTCGAAGAAAACACTTAATTGAGAAAAATTACTTATATAATAATAATATGCCTTCATTGAAAACCAACAAGGTACAATTTAACAATACAACATAATAGAAAATAAAATTTAATGTTGATTTTCAAGGGACGAAGTACGAACATCTGCTCTTCCACTTAATCCCTATTTCGAGAGAGTTAAACACAAATACCAAATTACTAATAAACCAAAAAAAGAAAAGCAGCAATAACCATAATAATAATAACAAGAGCAAGGACATTAGCACAAAAAAGTGAAAAGTTGACGTTTAAAATATCTTTTAAATAAATTGAAAGATCTAGTACTAGTGATAATGGGTGTATTACTACAAGTCTTGGCAATCAAATAGGAGAAAGACCTTCAGGAAGCATGTCTTGGAATTGTTAAAACGTGTTTCCGTCGAATATTCACATTGTTAACATCTGTTCATTTAATTTCTTAGCCAGATGAGGTGGATACTTATAGTTAATTACTTTGAAGTACAATGAAGCATGGTGCAACTTACGTCTCTGTTGCATATTTAACCAACCGCTGTCCATCAAAGTATGTGATATATTTCCTTTTGCTATGGATCATCCTTAAACAACAATTTTGAAGTTTCTGTATCCGGCAGGCAGTCACCCTTGTAAGATTAGGAGCATACACCAACAAAGATGTGTTCTTAATTCTTTATTCAGCACATGCCTATTCTGCTAACAACAACTTTTAAGGGTTAAGATTCAAATTATGCTCTATACATAGGTTAGACAAAGCCCGTGTGTCCTCATTAAGTATCCTTTTCCACATCCAATGGGGGAAAATGCTTTTGTGGCAAATGTATTTTACAATGTTATAAACAGTATGAATATCAGCAGTATACAGAGCAAATAAGAGAGGACCAAAGACCGAGCCTTGTGGTACATCAAACCCTTTTATAACCTTTCGCATAACCTCACTTTTTAGGGCGGTACTAAAACGATCAAAAAATAATGTATAAAAGAATGGTTATAAAGAAAATNACCTTTCCATACCCAAATCGGGGCGAATACAGTCCAATACGACCAAGTGATGGTGTTATCGAGCCTTAATGCGAATAATACGAAAAATGTTAAAAGGCAAGTGTGTACGATGAATTTGCTAAAAAAAATTAATTATTAATAAAAATTAAGGGAAAATTAAATTGAATTGAGTACCTTGGGTTGAAATCTTTAAATAATGATTGTAAGTTCATTGCTTTTTTGATTTTTTTGGGTGAAAATCGCGTTTAAATTGGATTTTTGTGGTTTTTTAGTTCATGTTTACGTCGCATAACCTCACTTTTTAGGGTGGTACTAAAACGATTTGAAATGTCAAAAAATAATGTGTGAAAGAATCGTTATAAAAGAAATTATTTGTTTTATTTAAATTTATTTATTAATTAGTGTAGAAAATAATTTGCTATTAAATTATTATTGAAACTAAAATAATTGTTAGTTATCTACTTTATCGGCTTAAAAAAATAATAAACAATTTTATGAAATTTAACGTTTAGTTATTTTAGTTCTCCTATTTCCCAAAAGATGGCGCTACGATGAATTTTTTTTTTTTAAATTAACAATAAATATATCAAATATTACAATTTACAAAAATACAAGGTATTGACCTACTTAAAAATTAGGTCAAGGTCATTGAAGGTAAGTTTAAGGAGACATTCTAAAATTTTCGACCAAAATTTTCAATTTTATCATCTTGAAGGTGAATTAGAGGTCGTTCAAGGTGAGTTCAAGGAGATATCCTAAAATTTTTACCCAACATTTTCAATTTTATCATCTTGAAGGTGAATTAGAGGTCGTTCAAGGTGAGTTCAAGGAGACATCCTAAAATTTTCACCCAACATTTTCAATTTTATCATCTTGAAGGTGAATTAGAGGTCGTTCAAGGTGAGTTCAAGGAGACATCCTAAAATTTTTACCCAACATTTTCAATTTTATCATCTTGAAGGTGACTTAGAGGTCGTTCAAGGTGAGTTCAAGGAGACATCCTAAAATTTTCAAACAAAATTTCAATTTTAAGTAGGTCAAGGTCTTGACCTACTTAAAATCGAGTATTTTTCGTCTCCTTGATGTATCTTTTAAGTAGGTCAAGACCTTGACCTACTTAAAATTGAAATTTAGTCCGAAAATTTTAGGATGTCTCCTTGAACTCACCTTGAACGACCTCTAATTCACCTTCAACAAGATAAAATTTAAAATTTTGGACCTTTAATGACCTCTAATTAATATTGACCC